ATAGCAAAGGAGACTCACTGTTTTGAACAAATTTATCGTAGAAAAAAATGTCTAATTGGGGTGAACTGTAACCAGTTTAGTTTAACTGAGAAACAACAAGAACTACCCGACGCAAGATTCAAAGTTTTTTTGCTAGCGCTTTCACATTCAGTTCCTTAGCTGTCCAGACTTCTTACGCATCGTCAGGCTTTAGACTTAATACACTTGAGCAATAACGTTTTGATTTCGCGCTCAAACTTTATAGGAAGCAATCAAGATGTCTACTTTACGAGAGAGTTGCTTGGGTCTCGCAACGGGGTTTCCTTTCAAATCTATGTAAACAACTGAGTCTCGTATAAGTCCTTGATTAGATCTTTAAAAAATGCCGGAAAACGGTAATTATGTTTTTGATAGCCAAGTCATCTAGCTGAGGAGACGAGATTTGTAACAAAACCGTTCAGCTTTGCCTCCGGCCCGACTGGTTAATGTGTTTGAACAAGTGTTGAAACTATCCGTCGCAATGACATTGCCCTTTGTTCCTGAAATGCTCGAAATGACACATTATTTCTTCGTTTTTAATGATTAAGGTTAAGCACACTTAAAAGAGGATTGTTATCGCATATATGTGGCAAGATAATTGCAATAATGTAAGTGCTATTATTTTTAAACGCGGTCATAAATTCATCATTCCACTTGGTTTTGCCGCACGCGGGTGAAAACGTTTTAAGTTTAGTTACATACACACACAGTAAAGCCTTCATTGTTTGGCAAACTTGAAACTGTTTAAGAAAACGAAAACAATCTCACCTGAAGCTTATCAAACACTCAATTTCCTGTATGAAGGTTTGCAAAAAGTCGCAGCTTGATCAAAGCTTGACAACCCCTGTCTGTGATAAACAAACTTGCGGTTCAACTTTTTAACTAGCTTTTAATGACAGCTTGCCGAATCTGTCAATCACAACAAGTCGAGCATTGTCCTCGCGAATTAGTGAGATAACTTATTTATCAGCAATTTAAGAAATG